AGGAGGTAATAGAGGACTGGAAACCGTTCCAGTTCCTCCACGACGTGCCAGAATAAGCTCTCCGCGTAGGCGGAAACACCGACTCTTACGGATAGATGATAAACGTTTGAGATAGTCTACTAAAGGGAGGAGGCGGGATTTTATGTACCCGCAGCCTCAGGGCTACGGGGAAACTTTTGCCCGCGGCAGACCAGATAGAATATCGTGCTCATAGACCCGAAAGGGATCCAGATAGTACGTTAAATTGATTCTTATTATTATTATATTCTGCTCACTGCTTAATCATTTCGCGTTTCAATATGGAAAACTTATCACAACATGAATTTGAAAACTCATTCATTCTGCCCAGCCCTGAGTCAGATTTCTCGGACTACATTATCCCATCCGCCACTCTTCTGAATTCAGTGCCTTCCCAGGATCCTCCAAACTTTTCAGGCACTAGCCAAGCAGTGCATTCGGTGAGGATGGTCAGCATCTAATTTCTGCAAAAGCAAAAGCTAACTCGTGCCAGCCCGATGACCCTTCCGGACTCCTCATTGCAGATTGGCGGATGAAGAGACATAACGCGGACACTACGATCAATGTTGCCTTACAAACCCTAAATTCGGCTTATTGCGCGCTCCATGTGGCAAATGATGCGGCACAAAGGGTAATTGAAATGTTTGACTACCAAGGAAAGTGCCCCGAGCATCAAACTCTGGTAGCGCTGCAGCAGCGAGTGGCAGCACTGGAGATGAAGCAACCGGAACAGCCCCCCGCCCGAAAGGCTACCAAAAAGAAGAAGTGACCGTCATTTGCGTTGGGGAGTCGTAAAGTTCGGAGAATGTTGTACTTTAAATGGAATTATTTTCCTTCCTGAACGGAATTAACATCTCAAAGTGCAGTGTATATAAAAAGAGCTTTGGCAGAAAGCAATCAAGCGAAAGAGCGCTTATAATTCGATATGAAATATCTTCTCCTTGCCATTATTCCGGCCGTGATTAGCCAATACTGCGAGCTTTATGGCAGAATGCTAGACACAAATGATAGCGCTCTACTCCTTGAACACATAGGCGCCTTCTGCCAACAAAACGCCGCTGTAATAGGAGAGGAATCGTCCTGTTTTGATTCCCGTAGCTGGATATTCACAGACAAAAGCGCCAATATCACCCTTATCTCTACAACGGGTATAGGTGGACCGACCACGTTCACCGTTGGCCAATGCCTTACGGGATTCCACACAATATATGATGTGTGTACTCAGATGCGGGGGGGTACTTACCCAGATGGGGATTTTCTTTGGAGAGTGCTCTTAGACGTGCAAATGTGAGGCCAGATTCCTTAAGAATCAGTCTCGTCATAATCGCAGTGTGCAACAATACAGAATCTGTTAACCTCCTTATTCGCAAGCGAATCGCAAGATACATGCCTTGAGTTTTCCAAGGGAGCGCGCTGAAGTAAAGGAGAATTGACCGACTAGCCACAAGGCGCAGCACGGATCAAACGATTCACCGCTCAGAAAAGGGAAATAGTAGCGAGTGGAGGACGGACAAAGAAAGTGGCGAAGGGTTTAAGTGTCTGCCTTGCTGTCTCAACGTAGACTGGGCCAAGTCTTTAGTCTAAGAGCTTTACTGTAGACAAACGTGACCCAGAGCTGAGCGTCGAAGTCACAGAAGGAAACAGATATATCTTTTAACGATTTCAAATTCTTCTATAGCCGTTAATGCAGTGTCGCTGTATTAAAGTACTGCTTAATCTATAATATTCGGCGGGTTGCTTCGTTCATTTATATTATGACCACAGCAAGGACAATCACGATGCTCCTCGGGACAACCTAAACGAATCTTAAATTTTCTCTTCCGAAAGAAAGTACGCCAGGACCGAGGTTCAATTCTTATTTCAGATAGATGGCCGTGCGCTGAGAAGAGATCCAAAATGTAAAACCGGCTGTAATCAGTCGGATCAGTCGGATCAATCGAACTAATGGCTCCCTACCCTGTTACAAAATTATGATGGCTACACTAAAGCAAAACCTAGCTCATGTCAAAGCCTGTAGCGGGCAAGGTGATACATATAATTCAAGGATATCACCAACGAGAAACGCAGTGCGTTATCCCGTAAATATCGAGGCTTTAAGAGCGGGTTACAAACCTGGAGAAAGCTATGACGGAAATAGATCTAATCGATCACAGGGTGAGAATTAGTTCCGTCGAAGATTGGGGGGAAATGATTGACGCTGTGATTATCCCTTAGCCGAAAGTAAAGCTGGATAGGTTATTAATTCAATCTAGCAGCGTCAATATCAGGTCGGAACCACTGTGGAGGCTGCGATGGAACGGGCATAAGGCAGCGGTGAAGCTGCCTCCTGAGGAAGGTTCTGACCAGGTGCCGTTGATTGAGAATGGCGCTAAGTCATCCCTTGCCTTCGTATCTTAAGTGTTCCATAAGTTAGGTGTGGGATACTGTATAAGAGGGAAGGACGCTGCGTCCACATCAGCTCTGTTAGCCATCGGTTGTAGGCAGAGCATGGCGCAGAGCGTGGCTCAGCACTCAATCCCATGCTCGTCGAAATTCCAGATATTCTCCGTTTTGATGTGAAACTGGTTGATCAGGCTCTCTTGTTGAAGTTATGAGGGGTGCACGAAAACTGTATGCATAGTAAGGGCTTAGAGAAACAGAATAATTAGCTTAATCTTAAGCAAGAATGGAAGAAGCGCAACTGTGTGATTTCTAGTGTGACGGGTTGCAGAACCTTGCGTCAGCTTTAAGAAGGTCCTGACAATACACCTCCATCAATTAAACATCTTCCTTTCCGTCGACATCGACATATTCCTCTCTTATAGCAGCTGTAACATTACATAACTCTGGGTCTCTTCCGTTAACTTTTAGAGCAAAGCATATCCAACAAAATTTGACCTCTAGAAATCTGATTTACGCTTATCACCGGCCTGACTTGCTATATTCCAGTTATCGTTCTTCCTCAAGCATGTCCTCTACACTCCTCGCTACTACGATAGCATTTTCCCTATTCTCCTTGACATCCGCGCACTTCATGATCCAAAACCCAGCTCCTATTCCTGGCTCCGCTCCTAAGGATCCCCTCGCTGGTAGTGGTTCCGATTTCCCATGCCACAGCGCTGATCTCTTCAATGTCGGCTCGCGAACTAGTATGGCTGTAGGTCCCTCGCAGCTGCTCGAATTCAACCTTGGCAGTGGTGCTAACACTGCCGTCCACGGTGGTGGTTCATGCCAGCTCAGCTTGACCTACGAGAAAAACCCGGAAAAGCTTAAGGACCCTGCCTCTTGGAAGGTCATCTATTCCATCGTTGAGGGCTGCCCAACTAACTACTGGTGGAATCTTGACACCGCTAAGAGGTGCGTCCCGGGTTCCGGCGACATCAAGTGCGTCAACGCATTCGACTTTACGATTCCCCCAGGGGTCAAGAATGGCGACGCGATTTTCGCCTGGACCTGGTTCAACAACCTCGGTGAGCGCGAAATGTATATGAACTGTGCTGCCGTGTCAATCACCGGTGGTCAAGACTAGAGCTCCGAAATGAATAAATGAATACGAATATGGCCCTTATTCATATTCGCTCTTCACGAATATGAATAATATGAATATTATTCATATGAATATGCCCAATATTCATATTCATATTCGTATTCATATTATTCATATATCTCTCCGGGAATTTGTTGTTCCGGGCCGACCCGTTTCCTCTTCCTATAGTTATATGCTATCGTCTTGCTTGTCAATAGACAGATTTCAGTCCAGTTCCTATGCCAGA